TTCGAAAGTTGGATTGTCGTTGGGTGAGAAATTTAGCCACAAGACGTTTGAAATTACTTCGCGTTCATTAGAAATAACCGAGAAGTGAGGCGTATTGACGTCAGTTTGTGATCAACAGGGAATAACAGAGGTACGAACAGCATGTTTTTCGAGACACATTATCATTGTTATTGTTGATGTAATAGTGCGTCAGTATGAAACTTCTCAAGTGAATGACCTTTCCCAGGGTCTATTATACATTTCCTCTCGTCTTGTTGAATCTCTTCAGTTGCCCTACATGCACACCCGTCTATTTATCTTTTCTTTCCCGCTTCATTTACTCTCCCTTTTTCTCTCTCTTTACATTCGGCCGAACGACTGTGGCTTGGGTAGATGCGTTCTCGTACATCTACGCGAGCACCCTATGTGTTCCTATCGCTAAATTGCACATTTATCTCTCATTCACACGCACACGCACACGCACACCCACACACACACACACACACACACCCACACACGCACACGCACACGCTCACTCTCTCCCTCAATATATATATATATATATATCCATCTCGCAGCGCTTCTTCGTTTCTCGCTGTCTCATCAAAAGTATCTAGTTATTTTCTTAAATACTGCTAGGTAGAGCCACTAACACCCTCGACGTTAATGATTCACATAGGCACCGGTTCATCCAATGTTTAACTTCCCACTCGAAGCGAACTCCTCGTGGTAGCACGTAATGGATTTGTAGACGTTTCTTCTCTAAAGCTCACATTTCCTAGCCACCAGCACGATTTACTAATGATTATTGTTAGCTTACCATCAACGAACTGACGAGTCATGCCTTAATTCACATAAATACGAGCTCGGTAAATGACGTCAATTATACGGGTAGGAGCATAGCTTTCGTCCCCTTTCATCCAATGTGTTCGATTCAAATTACATTAGTTTCATTAGGATTCTCATTTGAAATGCATATAAAGGAGTCGCGCCTATGAGACGAGACGAGACGAGACGAGACGAGGTAAATAGATGAATGCATAGATATATAGATGGATAGGTGGGAGAGGGTGGCGCGTGTGCGCGTTTGCGTTTCTCTATGTTTATGTGTATTTATGTGAGCTGAAAAATATCACGAAAGAGTCAGTTAAATTAAAATGCAAGGGACGTTCAATGGCGTCAAAGTGGCCGAGTGCGACTATCCTCGACGTCGACGTTATATTCTTCAGGAGTTACTCTTTCTTGCCGACTACTCGCTCCACCATCGCTCCATTCGCTCTCTTACCACTTCACTTTCTTTACACACACGCATTCGTGTATTCGTGACAAAGAGTCTATTTCGCGGAGGCTGCACCGTCGAGCACTTGACTTGATGATGGCACATTTTTTTCTCTCGGCTCGAGTCTGCGCGCCACCCCGACACTTCTTATCGTTACATAACAGCTCTTGCGCATATGGGGATGAAGTTGCGATTTGTTTCAATGTAGTAGTTGTAGCGTTACGAATGGTTGGTTAGAAGCACATGATGGATTATCGAGCTGGTTCAATGGTTGTTCAATATTAATCGTTTCGAGGAAGCACTTTTTTGCAAATTATGCGACATGTTTCATTCGATATCCCGCGTATTATCTTCTCTCATTCACGATAATCCACGAAGACTCGCCTTGCCAATTTGCGCGAGCAAAGAATTTTTTTGGGAATTCTAATGGAGGTAGTGGCCGAGCGATTGGCATATCGTATTACGAGTCGCTGTATTGACGATGTGAAGGAAGGCGCGTCTTTAACACATCTCAACTACGCTATTCTACAAGTACAATTGTAACCGCAACCACTTCAATCCTGCCCGCCCCTCCATTTCCGTTTTTCCGCCAATGATGGTAAAATCCAGTCGTCCAGATTCTTCAATTACACTAGCTGATAATATCCAGCATTCAGGCTCGAGGAGAGGATGAATTTTGTTAATCGGGAGCGATGATACGCGTCCCGCCGAGCAGAGCCTACGTTTCCCATTATTATCCTTATTAATACATCCGTGGCACGAATCAATGGGCATGGAGCGCCGAGTCTTGCCTGCTCGGCTAATTTCGAGCACAACCGAACAATGGACCTAGGTAAAAGTAAAAGGTCTAACGATAGGCCCCTAACGAACCTAACGCATCCGTTGGCAATAAATTTTGCAAAAATCATTGGCCCGATCATGGAAGGATTCAACGGTCTATCGTGCGCGGCTAAGAAATCCTGCCTTATCACTCGGCAGCATCTCGTCTTCGTCAGCTCGACGGCCCAGCAACAAAGGCCGAGGAGGGCCTTTTTATCTAGCATTTATGTGCACCGGGGAAGCTGGGTAAGGAAGGGCACGAAGGGATTGACGCTCGTTTTCGCGCGTGCACGAGCAGGAGGCGAAACGTGACCCAAGTCGAGTTCGGCATCCTCCCTGATATCCGCGCAGGTGCGGCGTTTTTATTATTCCGTTTCGGAATAGCTGTTGGCGCTGGCTGTGTGGGTGGCGATTTCTCGAGTGAATACTTCCGCGATCGAGCTCTCCCCGTCTTGTCTCTAATTGTTTGGGTTAACGGTGCCGCGGGAGCTATTTACGAGTTTATTGCCTTGATATCATTATCGATGCCTCGAGAGTTTACGAGCGCAAAATCGGGGAGCGAATTCTGCCTTTAGTTCTTTTTCTTGTTCCTGTCTCTCGCGAAATTCCCCCTTAATTGACATTGTTTATTATTTTATTTACGATGCGCCGCACTGTATTTTTAGCCGTAAGGGAGATGAGGGAGACGAGCGCGCGTATTTTTCAATATGTAATACATAACTTCACATTCAAATTACGGATATTAAATGTACGTACATAAAAATTTTAAGCCACATTGTGTTCTTAAATTTTATGGCTGGCGGTGATTTATGGTAGTGGTAAAACTGTATTGCGCTCGAATTCTCGATGCGTCGATTATATCCTTGATTGTTTCATATAAAAATCAGTTGGCCATCTCGCTGCGCGCAACGTTCGCGATAGAATGTCGCAAGTGTGTAGAACAATTTATTAAGGAAAATTGTGAAAACTCTGTCAGCAAAATAGGCTTTGAAAAAATTGGCTCATTAACGTCGCACGAACATGGCATCATATTATCTATAATAATCCGAGGACACTCTTCGCCATACTCGAGAACATTGTAACAAAGGACCTCACCGTTAAATTCACATATTTTCGGCCTTGAACAAACCCGAGTTTCGCGATTAACATAATTTTTGCCTTTAAATGGACGACGACTGGACGAAGCGCGTAGGTATGGGGAAAATTCATTACCGATTATCTGTAAAACAAAAACATCGACACACTTAAATGCCCTATTATAGAATATCGCATCGATGCTTTATTACTTTAATTAAAATTAATCGCTTGGTAGAATTGTCGAGTCTTACGATAACGATAAGCACTCGGTCGATCTTTAAGACTTTAGAGTTTTAAGTGCTTTGGAACGCGCCAAGTGCTACAAGGCTCCTCGCTTTTCGCGTACCACCATCAACGATTTTCTTCATATACGACGACATGAAAATTTCCCCTTTCTAACACGTTACATTCAATTTTCATCTACGGCACTATCCCGAGCGCTATTATACAGGACAATAAAAGAACGGAGAAGTCCTTGGAATGCTTGAGATTCGAGCTACCTTAAACCGATAGACATTTTTCTCTTACGTTGCTGTTAAATCGATTTAATTTTTATAATAATAAAGGCCGCCTTAACATAAAATCTTAATCAGTCGTACATTCGCGCGTATAACAGTCGATAATGCTTCCGTACCATTATTTATACAATTTTTATACATACACGTAGATTTGTAATAGTGTTGTTCTTAATCGATAGCTTAATCGTAAACTTCGGAAGCTATAAAGTAATAAACTGTATGATGATAATATGAAATATTACGATTTTGTTCCTTTAATTTTGAGAGAAAATGAGGTTATGAGAATGTGACGCGATAACCGGGAATAACCGAGCGATAAACGATCGTTCGCGATAGTTAAGGAGAAACGTTGGTCAATGATATTTTCATTATGGAGTAACCTAATCAATAAAGAAGCAAAAATCTTTGTTTATTTTGCCCATATTGCTACGGTCCATTCCAACAAGCAATACGTTTATTATTAATCCCTTACGTAAGCGGACTGGGAAAGTTATCCAAATGAACCGGGCGATCTCTGCTCTTATATAATACCACGTCGATTGAAAATGCGCTGCTCTGAAATTATAACGTGTGCGTCGTATCCAGCCAACGTGTCCCTATCCTTAAATTACAAACACAGAGAAGCTCGTACAAGCCCACGATGCGCTGATAAACAAAGGACAGTTGCGTCTAAATCTCGTGGTGAAAATAGAGTTTGTAAAAAAAAAATTCTAAATAATGGAACACTAGTTTTCATTATTCGTGTTATGTGCCATTAAATTATGTGCAATAAGCTTAAATTGTCAGGAAAACGATGTGTTGCAAAAAAAAAAAAAAAAAAAAAAAAAAAAAAAAAAAAGATATTCATCCGTATCTAACGTTTGAAATAAATATTAAAACAGCAATCATCATCGATCAACGATCATTTTGTTATTATTAAACTCTTGTAATAGGTATTATCTTAATATTAAAAAAAAAAAAAAAAAAAAAAAAAAAAAAAAAAATACACTGATACCTTAAAAGAAAGAAATAAACAAATAAAGAAAGAAAGAATGAATGAAAAAAGATAGAAAAAAGAATAAACAAGGAGCTATGGTACAGCCTTTCACTCTGCTGCAGGCTGCTCTCCTTTCCAAAGTCCCCTTCCGCCACCCTTCGCCACGATTCGCAAATCGAGACAATTATTCGCAATCTTCTCGCCAATTTCTATCGAACGGTATTATCGACGCAATTGCTTTCAAACAAAAGCACATTAGGATCGCATGGATTAGCGCCGCGAGAAAGCGAGGTGAAAAACCGCCTTGTCACTAGTCGAAAGAGACTCCAATAATCAGTCTTTTATTGCGCAGGTCATCGAGGGCAACAGGAACACCTATCTCGAGTCCAAGTACAGCCTGGAGCCGCCGATCTGGGCGAGCCGAGTCCGTTTCCTGCCTTACAGCGTCCACAAGCGGACGATCTGCATGCGGGTGGAGCTGTACGGATGCTCGTGGAACGACGGCATAATATCGTACTCGATGCCCCAGGGTGACAAGCGGGGCAATTGGCAGTTCTTCGACGCGGCTTACGACGGCCACTGGAACGACGAGCTCGTCCGGGGCCTCGGACTGCTGACGGACGGCAAGACGGGGCCCGACAATTTCAAGCTCAGCTATTACGACTCGAGCAAGGAGCAGGGCTGGGTCGGCTGGAGGAACGACACGAGGGAGAGACAGCCCCTGGAGATCAAGTTCGAGTTCGATCACGTGAGGGAGTTCTCGGCCGTTCACATTTACTGCAACAATCAATTTACCAAGGATGTACAGGTGAGTTGGCTGATAGCGGTGATCGCTTAGGACCCGTCGATGCAGTGGGTCTGCGCGCGGCTACGGGTACGGCCAACGGCCGAGATCGTTTTTCCCTTCTCTTGGTTCTCGGGCGAAGCCGAGCGAATGACTTCGAGATACCTTGATGGCTAGACGGGTAGACGGGTAGACGGTAGAGAGCCGTTTGATTATGTAAATGTCGAGCCAAGTTTTGATGATCGGTAATTTGACCAATCGGAGGTGTCGCTGCCGCTGAGATTGATAATGCATTGGCTTGGCGGGTCTTGTATTTTTATGGAGGCGCGCTCGCGCTTCTATCCGATCGACCCGAGCCTGGCTTATTTAAGGTCAGAGTGAGAGGAGAGGGTGCGGTCAAATGCGATGCTGGAAATGGCACTTTCAACCAATGGAGATCATAATAAACGAGTAAAAGGGTTTGGCATCGCTTCTTAAAAATTTTTAACATCATTATTCATTGGACGCGTGGGGCATTATAAAGTATAAGAGCTTTGGCGAATGACGCACGTATATACTCTATAGGACGGATAGTATAATAGTGGTCGACCCATTTTGCTTTCATAATTAAGCGGCCCATTAACGATGATGGTCACGTGGACGACTAGAAGAACAATAATAATTTTATTGGCGCCCGGCATTCTGTATTCGTCTAATGATGCCCAGGGAGGAGTGTGTTTGTTCGGCGCCCGGACTCATTGGACAATAATAGCCACTTGGGCGAAATTAATTGAAATATATAATATAGATTATTATGAAATATTATGAAGATAGAATAAATTCAATTTAAATAATAGTCTTGGCTTGTCGATGGTAGGTTAAATAAAAGTTCGGGAAAATTCGGTTGAAAAGGAAAAGTGGAAATGCCGAGCGGAGCAGGCCCTCGGTAGGTTAATAGACAAAGAAAGGAAATTGAAAAGGCCAGCCAGCAGTCTGGCGAAAGAGTCGCTCGCGTAAATGAAATCAAGGAATAAAAGATCGCACCGAAAAGATCGTACATATCTTTCTATTCTTCCTCTTCTTTCTTTCCATTTGGCCGTTCAGCCTCGTCGTTAAGTTCTCCCGGCTTTTGCTCTCGGTGCATCGGTGCATCGGTGGCCTTTAATTCAACCTCACCGCGAAGAAAACAAGCGACTAAATATATAATTCTAGCTCTTGTCGCGAGGACTGAAGGACGCGCGATTCGAAAGAACGAATAAGAGCGATATTGAAGTGCGTTGGAACGACGTTGTGTTCATGATTAAGAAAAAAAAACAAAACAAAAAATAAAATAACGATGAGAATAAAAAGCAAAAGACAAGAAGAAGAAGAAGAAGAAGAAGAACAAGAAGAAGAAGAAGAAATAGATATGGATGAAGGGAAAGAAACTTGCTCGGAGAATCGTTAATACTGGTAGATGAAGAGACGAAAAAATGAAAGTGTACAAATACGGAAGGAGTTTAGTTTTCTCTCCTAGCCACACTACGTCAAGTTTTCCCTTGGCGAAAATTTTCCGCTATTCAACGGTATCGTTATTCTTTGCTGAGATTTTATAATGGTCCGTGAAACACCAAGAACTATTCATCTGTTTAAATCTCTTTGTCTCTCCCCCCCTCCCCCTCCCTCTCCCTCTCCCCCTCCCTCTCCCTCTTCCTCTCTCTCCCTCTCTCTCTCTCTCTCTCTCTCTCTCTCTCTCTCTCTCTCTCGTTTTTCTCGTGCGCGCGCTCGTTCGCTCGTTCTTACTCATTTGCTCTATCTTCATATCAAAATTTACTTGAATAGAACGCCTCATTACCCCAGCTCAACAACTGCATAGTAGCGTGCAAGGTTGTAGGTTCAAGTGAGAAAGTGAAATAATGAGAAGAGGAGTGGAGGGAGAGTAGTCGAGCAAAAATAGATATACTACCAAAGTCAAAGCGAGTAAAACGAATAGAAATAAACAAGGTTGGCATAATGTATGATGGTAAGAGATGCACATAGAGGTCAATTGTTACATCATCCAACTATTTTTCGCTATAAAAATGTCCTTATGGACTATTGTATATAATCTCACGGAAAATTCGCCATTAAGCAGCATTTCAGGATGTTTCATTCGAGCGACTCCCTTATTCCTTATTCAAAAAATGTTGAGGGGGTGGGGATGGGGATGGGGAATAACAACAGAGTTTTCGAATATCCTCGGCGTCGGATATGCAGTGTGCGCAACATAAATAGGTGTGCCGCCGCTTTAGGATAAGACATAGGATACACGACACCTAGCCAGAATCCAAACTCTAATACTACGGAATTGTAGCGCAAACAAGTGCAAAATTTATATAAATATTACAATTGAATAAGATTGATGATAAATGAAGCACGAAGGAAGTAGAACGGCTCAAGATAAGAGCGCAGTGTAATAATTCTGCTTACGCTCTCAATGTACAACGAGCACAAAGCGATCATTGAGATTACGTGTATACAGCGCATAATGAGAGACGAAAAAAATAATAAATTAGTCGGACAACGGTGAAAATAAGCGGCGGGAGTTTGAAAAAGAGTCGAAAACAATGCAAGAGGGAGAGTAAGAAGTTCCGCGAGTTCTCGCTCCCTCCCACATGCGCTCACGGGCCCGTCACCGCTCGTATACGCCAGCCACGTACTCCAACCACACACAATGCCTAAGGTCTAGCGTGAGTCTGGATGCCTACCCGTCTCCCTCTCCCCCCCCCCCCCCGCTA